ATACTAATTTATCACAACAATTACTGGTCTTGAGGTTTGTCCGAGATAAAAATTGGTGCAATCGTAGAGTATTTTCTAAAAGCAGTTCTCTAATCTTATCTATCCTGTGTGATGCTGGGTTTGGTTCTGAGAGTTGTAACGGGAAAATAAATTATTGAAAATATACACAGAAAAATAACAACGGTTAATAAATATAAAATAAATACGGTAAACGTTGTCTTCTCTGAACTGTTGAGGTGACAGTGTTTGGCGCCGGAAAATGGAAAAATATCTGAAAAATTTGGACAGTGATGATACACTTTCAGAAGGAGGGTCAAAAAGGAAGGACAGATATAAAGACAGCGAGGAAGAAGATAACATTTTCAGAAAGAATAAGAAGTTCTCGAGAAACAAGAAACAAGGAAACAATAGAAAAGCTCATTATGGAAAAGAAGAGAGCTGAGAAAAGAAAATGCAGAACTAAAACAAGAAAATATAGAGATCAAGGAGGAACTAACATAAATACCAAAAAACGTGGAAGTTATTGAAAAACACCGATGAAAATAAATAACATAGTTATGAACAGCCTAAAGATAGACAGCAGGGTTAAAAGGACAACAATGTCATCAAACACGAAATAGGAGTAAAGGATAAAATAGGGAATGCTCACAAGCTAGGTGAAAAAACATGCCTAATTGAATTACAAAAACCAAGAAGAAAAAAGAAAAATAATGGAAAAAAGCACAAGGTAAAAGAAATTAAAGAGTACAAAGTATATATTAACGAAGATGCAATCATAAAAGAACAATAAATACAGAAAACAATTAGAAACATTGTTCAAGAAGAAAGAAATAAAGGAAATGAAGTCAAGATTGGAGTAAAAACAATATGAGTAAATAACAGCGAATGGAACTGGAGTGGCAAAGAAGGCGCAATAGTCAAAACATCAAAAAACTAGCAACTAACTGTACTACTGGAATAACGCTGACGAAACAAGCACAGAAAAAGGTTAGCGACAATACAAAAAAAAGGAAAAAAGAGGAAAAAATGAAAACCGAACCAAAACACCAGAAAACTTGTCGAAAAGAACACTTACTTGGGAGGAACATGAAATGTAAGAGGCACACATGGAGAAGGCAAATTTAAGCATTTAGCGAGAGAAATCAAAAAGTTCCATTTTGACATAAGAGAATGGCAGGAGATGAAACAGCTGGGAAATGATATATTCGAAATAGAACATAGTGTTTTTTAACAGCGGCGGAAAGAATCAAACGTTAGGCACAAGTTTTATAAAAGAAAAAGAGTTAAAGAAGTAATAGTAGAGTTTAAACCAGTATCACACCGCATATGTAGTATCAGGTTCAAGGGAAAATACCAAAAGATTACCCTCATAAATATTCACGCGCCTTCAGAAGAAAAAGATAATGATGTCAAAGAATGTTTCTACCGTGAATTAAATAGAACAATCGAAAATATGCCCAGATATGATATGAAAATTATTTTAGGCGACGTAAATGCCAAAATAGGGAAGGAAGAAGTATTTAGACCGACAATAGGAAAATATATTAAACACAATAAAAATAATGAAAACGGAAATTTCCTGATAAATTTCGCAAGAGATAAAAATATGATCATAATGAGTATATATTTCGAAAGAAAAGAAATACGCAAGGAAACATGTGTATCGCCAGATAGAAAGACTAAAAACCAAATAGACTACGTGCTCATTGAAAAAGAAGAACAGCAATATATAAAGAAGATAAGAACATACAGAGAACTAGACGCTGACTCAGGGCATAGATGGTAGATGCTGACTACATGGTGGGCATCAAAAGTAAGCAGCTGATACCAGAAAACAAAATAAAAGAAATGATATGTATAAATAACCCAATTCGATTAGCAACAAAGAAAGAGCAAGAAATGTCCGAGGAAACAATGAAAAGAGAACTAAAAAGATACAAATAGAAGAGCAAACAGAGAATAAATGGGAAAACATAAAGCAAGTAATGAGCAAAGCTGCAAAAGAATGTAATAAACAAGAGAATAAAAAGAGGAAAGACTGGTTCGACATAAAGTGCCAAAAAGAAATAGAACTTAGAAAATCATTATGGATTAAAATGATCACGAGAAAAAAAACAACAGAGACAAACAATAGCTATATGGAGCAAAGACAAAAAGCAAAGAGGTTGCTAAGAGAAAACAAGAGAAAATACATAAAAAATAAGCTAAAAGAAATAGAAGATAATTACAGAAATAAAGAAATAAAAAACCTATATCAAGGTGCTAGAAATAAAAAAGAGGTTTTCAAGAAAAACCCATATTCGTTAAAAACAAAGCAATATATGAGGTGAAGCAGAAATAGACGAAAGATGGAAAGAGTATTTTGATGAATTACTAAATGGCAATAATAAGTCAAACCAAAGAGAATTTATGGAAGCAGAAGCAAAAATCGAACACTTAGAAGACATAGAAGATAGTTCACGCAGCAAAGAACAAATCGAGGAAATAATAAAAAATCTGAAAAACAATAAATGCCCTGGAAGCGATAACATAACGGCAGAGATGATGAAATATGGGGAAAAACGGCTAAATGATTGGATATACAAGATCATAAAGGAGATATGGATAAAAAAACGAATACCAGAAGATTGGAAGGAAGCAATTATTGGCACATTTCACAAAAAAAAGGAGACAAAACAGAATGCAATAACTACAGAGAACTAGAGTTACTAAACACCGTATATAAAATCCTATCAAAATTCATAAAAGATAAGCTAGAAAAATAAGTTGAAAATATAATAGGCAAATATCGGTGCGGATTTAGACGAAGGAGAAGCACAACGGACCAAGTATTCATAACCACATAATTACAAGCAGAAAGCTATGAACACAACTTACCAACGATAGCGCTATTCATCGACTTCCAGCAAGCATACCTGTCCAAAAGTTTAAATATATAATAATAATAAAATCTTAATTACAATTCCTCCTTACGCTTAAATAAAAAGAAGGGAAAAATACAAGATTTATTAACAAATGAAATAACTTGAAAAATATGACAAAAAAGTTGCTGGGAAGCTTGTATCCAAGAAAAAAGCTGTAATGATTTTGTAGATAATGTGACCTTCGCATGGTCTGACAATATTTGATGTAAAACAAATTGATCAAATAGATAATTTTAACAAAAAGCTTGCTACGGATATATTTTTGAATATAAAAGAACGGTATGAGACGGAATATTTTTACAGATAGTCTTAATAGATAATAGATAATTTTAACGATGGATAATTATATGTTTTTATCGCTGGGAAATAAAATAGAAAAGTGATGATGAACAGAATGTTTCTTAATGAAATAATGTGAGAAATGACAGATAGATATTACATTATCGAAGGAAAAATTACGATATAATAGAAGTTAAAATGGCTGATGGTTTTTTTACACTTTTTATTTATAATTGCATCAACTCACCGACTAAAAGTGGCTTCTAAATCAACGATTATACACTACAAAACAACTAAAAAACTGTCCATATTCTTCCTTCCCCAGCAAAATTAATATTCTCTTTTACCAAAAAGTTAAAACCAGAATGAGCGCTAATTTGCTAGCCGGATGGCATGTCATGTCATCGTACAGCGCCGTAGGTGTCACTGTTTAATACCAACTTAGAAATTAAAATTCAGAAAATCATTAAGAGGATTGGGATTTTAAAATTTTATTTAAAAGTTTACGGATTATTAAAGTAACGGACTTGTTACAAGTTCTTTTAATCCTGTTATAAGGTTCATTTTCATCTTATTTGGATGATGAGAGTAATAGCTTATAAATCTATTACTACATATGGGTTTTCTGAACCATCTGGTTTTCAACATATTGTCTGTATTTCTTACAATTCTCATGTCAAGGAATGATAGAGAATTATCTACCTCTTCCTCAAATGTAAATTGTATATGTTGATTATGATTGTTGAAAATGTTGACTGTTTCAAGAATTTTGTGTTTAGGAAGTGCCAAAACTAAATCATCTACATATTTAATAAACGGAATGAAAAAAGTGCAATTGTTGATACAATCACTGATAACATCATCCATGACATAGCTACTTAGAATGGGTGAAAGACTAGATCCCATAGGGCTACCAAAAATTTGTTTATAAAAGACACCATTAATTATTTTTGATTCTAATATTTTTATATTAGAATCAAAAGTATATTTTTGTGGTTGACATTTATTTTACAAAATGAACAAAAATGTGTTACAAACAAATCAATAGAATGCATCAAGATCTGGATTCCAATACTAAAAGAAATCAGCAATAATAATATACACATACTAACAAATTGACAGTAGATTAGAGACACACCATCTACAATTTAGTGTAATAATCACCGAAAGATCAGAATTTGATATCAATCCAAAGATACAGCCGGACTCTCGAAATTTTCACCTTACTACATGGCCTATAAAATCTAGGTCCACTGTCAAATTACTGTTCTTAGCCACCACCAATTATAAAGATTTACGGGTAAAAGTCATCCATTTTTTTTATTTCAGAATTTTTAAAACGATTGCCGGATTAGAAACAAATATAGAATGTAATTTTTAAATTTTTAAATTACAATCAATTGTGGTTTAATCCCATTTAATTCCGGGTTAATTCGTAGTGCGCTAAATCTTATTTGTACACTTCTTCGAGTTCCCAATCTGTATAATGTTCAGTATGCATGACAATGTCAAAAGTACAATGTATTCTAATTTTGCTATCCAATAAGTGTCTCTAGTTAGTAAATATTATCTGCCTTTATTTAAATTTGTAGTCGTTAGTACCTAGCTGTTTAGAAAATACGATGAAGAAAAATAAACTGATACCGTAATATCAAAAACACTAGTTGCAAAATTGTTAAATTGTTCGACGGAAATATTAACACATTTAATTTAAACTTTTCATTCCGGTCCTTAATATTATTTTATTGTTTTTTTATTTTACCATATTTTTTACTGACACCATTTTTGACTTTTTAGAGATACCATTAGTTCAAGATCTGGAAGTTGGAAGTAGTTTCTCGGATCATTTACAAGTTTATGGCATGGTGTACACGAGTAATCTTTCAGAACCAATAAAAACTCTTCGAGAATCAATTGCTGAATATTTAAATAACGGTACTGGATATCTTGCTGAAGCATTAGCATCTCAAGGTGTCGGATACTATATAAGTAAACTTGAACCCACTGCTGGCTATTCAGATATAGAATTGAGCTTTGCCGATACAAATACCACAACTGACGCGATATCCCGTTTTATGAGGTGGAGACCAGATATAGGTGTATCAGCAAACGGTATTGACTCCGCCAGTTCATTTAAAATATTTGTAACTCCTTTACATACAAAATCATTAGGTACGGTTAGATTACGGAGTGCCAGTCCTTTAGATTATCCAGATATAGATCCCAACATACTGTCAGACCCTGAAGGACATGATCTAGAAAGTGTTTATCTTGGAGTACAATTCGCGGTAAATCTTACAAAGCAGGGACCTTTTAAGAAAATAAATGCCAAATTGCAACAAAACCCGGTAAAACAATGCAGACAGTATGAATTCATGAGTAGAGAATATTGGAAGTGTGCTAGTAAATACATCGTCTGTCATAATAATCATCCTGTCGGTACTTGCAAAATGGGTCCAAATCCAAAAGTTGGTCACGTAGTTGATAACGAATTAAAAGTGTATGGAATTAAGAGATTACGAGTTGCCGATGCTAGTGTTATACCTCTTTCTACCTCTAGTCATCTAAACGCAATTTGTTACTTAATTGCGGAAAAGGCGGCTGATTTTATTAAGAAAGATCATGGAAAGTTGAACTCTTAATGTCAGAACGTATAGTTAATTACACTGTTACGATAAAATAAAATCTAATATCCTTAATGTTGTATTTAATTTGTAGCTGTTTTCAATGTAAATCAGTGATCGTATAAATATTTCGTAAAAGTGAAGACAATAATTTTCAAATATACACACATCAAAATAATCTAGGGGACAAAAACAAAATGCAAGATTACTGAAGGATTTCAAATCATTTATTTCAAATATTTTTAATGAAAAATTAAAAACAAGTGTCCTGAATATATAATAAACATTATTTCTTAGAATTATCACAATAGCTCTTAAGAAAATAAAAAAAACTTTAATATGTCAAAAAATGGTAACAAAAAAAAATAAAAGGCTAATGTAATATTGCCTCTCAACTCCCAAAAAGGTAGTCCGTAGGTTCAGTTAGTATAGTGTATGACCTCCACGGTTGTTAATTACTGTCCTACATCTGTAAGGCAAACTTATGATCAGATGGTCTATGTTCTGCTGCTGTATTCTGTTCCACTCGATGTCTTGTTTTGATCGCTGTCTTGTTTTGATCGCAATATTTTTTTGTAAAATGCGTGTACCCAATATGTCCCATAAATGCAAAATTGAGTTTAAATCTGGCGATTGTGCAGGACATGGCAAAATCTAAATTTCGTTATTTTTGAGGAATGTTCGCACAACCCTGGCCATCTCATGGGTCGCTTGCAGCCTCATATTTGTAATTGTGATGCAGTTACATTGCGATCTCGCAAAGCCTACAGTCAATAAAGCGATATTCAATCTGATTGGTTATTCTTGTACGACGTTCAGCCTGTATGACGTTCAGAAACATCACCAGTTTTTTTATACCTTAACCACAAACGATTAATGATGACGAACTTCTGTTCATGTGGACTACTTCAGCAACGTCTCTTTGACTTCTACCAGCTTGAAGCGTCCCGATAGCGTGCCACTGCATTTCACGGTTTAAATTGTCTTTTCGTTATTGGCAATTAATTACAAAACTAAATAAAAATCCACATAGACATCGAAAATCAAGTAGCAATAAAGAAATATTACTTTTTATCTTCTAGACAAAAAACGCATATTGAAGCTTTGTTAATTTTTTATAGCAATTCTTAGCGTCCAAGTTGGTACAATAATCGAAAAAACAACAAAAAAGATTCAAAACATAAATTTATTTTTGTATTTGCTGCTAACATTGATTTAAAGCGATTAATATAGGTAACCACTAGAGTATTTTGATGTGGCTATTATTTAATAACCAGGAAAGAAGATACTATCGTAGTATATTCTAATACAATTTGGAGAAATATGGCTGATAGTATTAGAGATACTGCTGTTATTGAAGTAATTGAAAAAATTGGAAAGAAATTTAAAAATGAATAGGCTTGATGATGGTTAAGTTCAAGAAAAAATAAAGGAGAAAGAGAGGGTAAAGTTCGAAAAAATAGCTAAATATACAGAATGACGTTTTGATTTCCACTACGGAATTCGTTTTCATAAAAAGTTTATTTTTAAAAGTGTGAGAAATATATATAACCAACAAGTTGTAGTGTAGTCCAATGAGCACAGAGTACAACAACAAGAATATACCAACAATAGCGGATTAATAAGATATACAGTATGATGCAAAAGTATGGAATAAATTCATTACCTATTTCAGAAATAGACGACTTTTAAAAAATCTTAAAACATGTTAATTTTAATTTTTGAATGCCCATTAACTACTATATGAGGCCACCAGAACCAGAGTGGCCCAAGTGATAGAAATCAAAACTAGAGATATGGGCCAAAATAAATTAGTGAAATTTTCGAGTTAATGTAGAACATTAAGTAAATATTAAACACATCGCTTAGTTCGCAGTATAATACTTTAAAAATTACTAAGATTCTAATGGGCTATAGCCTGATGCTAATTTTAAAGTATTTCTAATTTTTTAACAGTTGGGCCACTTTGGCATTGGCTGTTTGAGACAAGCATGTCAATAAAAGTAAGAATAATAGGCCATCGGGTATGAAAACAACCCATTCCATAAAAATAAATTAATGTAATATACCAGAAATAATAACTTTTATTAAATTGAAAAATTACAAATTAAAACTTAGTGCTAGTTTTTTTACTTAAGTTGTAATCAAACTTTCACTTTTATTGGTTTTAAATGTTTTCATTACACACTACCCACTGAAAACTCCACTGAAAAATCGCTCATTGCTTCTTCTAATTCGTTTCTTGTAGTGTTAGAGTCTACTAGTTGGTGGTAGAATTGATGATAGATGGGCGGAACATATTCTAGTAAACACATAAGGTCTTTCTTTTTTTCAGGGTTGATTTTTCTTCCATCCGGATAGAGCGTTTCGAGCTCTAGGTTAGCAGCATCTTGAGAACTCCTTATACTGAAGTTAACTTCGGTAAAAAGGACTTCTGGATTATTCAAATATTTAAAATATATGGAGAATGGATGCATCCTACTATACAGCATCCACTGCATTTTTAGCCACTCTACTTTAGACCTATCGACGTTTATCTTTCTGTTCGTAATGTTACTTTCTAAGGCTTTCGTCAATATGAAATCGTCTTGTTTCATCTGTACTACCTTGAATGAATTCTTTTTCTCGCTGCTGTTATCACGGTGTTCCAATGCTCCGGAATGTATATGTTTGCGAAATACCTCCTCTGCTTTTCTATCAAGCCGAAAGCTCGATCACAAGATGAGTAGGAATGGCCGCTCACTGAAAATTTGTGATCAATCTGTCCCACAGTATAAGCTGGATTTGATACAATCTACATACACAATACCGCAATTTTTATATTGCGGTTGGTCTGAGTACATTATTAGTTTCTTTGTACGTACATTATCTCTAACTAATAAATTTTAATAAACATGAACCTACTTCCTGTGGCCCTCTAGATGCAGTCGATTCGTCTCAAACGTACATAAAAATGTCATCGATAGCAGCATTGTGAATACCTAAACAGTAAGTCCATCACTGCTGTTTAAAGTAGCATATTCCAGTTGAAATTACCGGAGTTGGAAGAGTCTTCATCAGATCAAATATAATTACTGTGGTGTCATTGTTTTCTTTTGCATACTGTATATCAATTTTCATATTATTCATGGCACTTTCCGCTTTTCTTAAATGAATCTCCTTGGCAGTGCGGCCTTCTTGGAATGTTCATTATTTTCACAAGTCTCTATTTTTACTTTGAAATTATCGCATTTCTCACATAAATCTGTTATAGGAGCATGGAATGGTAAGTTGAACTTCTCGTTGAATATTTTTTCAAAGATGTATTTAGAAACAGGTTCGCTGGCTTTCTTTTATATTCGGAATACATTATAGTCAAATTCAAGTCAGGTGGCAAATACTGTCTTGTCTCACTTTTGTGTTTGGTGTAGTGTGAATCGTATTTTGGAAAAGTATTAATGAACTCCTTTACTTCATTTTCTTTCAGCTCAGGGGTTTTGTTTTTGGAACATGTTTACCTCGCTTGTCAATAGCGGTATATCATCAACTGATTTATTTTTCAAAACCCTTGTGAGACGTCCATCTGATGCTTGAAGGACATGTTTGAAAAATGACTTGCAAACACGAATTTGTCTTCCGTTCATATCTGGTAAATGATACAGTCTGGAAAATTCTCTCGGCTTTGTTGTGACATCGGTTGCATTTTATTTACATGATCTTGCTTTAATTACGACATTTACGAGTGAACACAGGTATGAGCTTGCAAATTGAAATTTGATAATCCATAAAATTTGGAAAATAGTATTCTTTGTCTTTCAGGTTCGATCTTCTCGTGGCATTTTTCTTTACAGGGACATCGATATTGTGTATTTATCGTTTTAGCGAGAACGAGAACGCCTTTAGTTTTAGTGTATTCCTCACCTTTAGCTCGTTTGTTTCTTCTCACATTTTTTTTTCCACGTATTTTTCTTGCGAATGCGTTTCCTTGTCGTATTTGTAGAAACTGACGACTGGTCTTCTTCATTAGACAAATCTTCAAGAATATGTTGCAAATTTGGCGAAGAGCTCCTGCTGCGATGATCTGGAACATACTCGGAACCTGAATCCTGATAGAGTTCCTCTGGGCTTGATCCAAGTATATCTCGTAATTCATTTTTGATGTTATCAGTAGTTTTAGCCCCACTCTGTCCATCATGTGCAGTTCCTGCAGCTCCAGAAACATCTGCAGCAAACAAACACAACAATAATTTTTTGTTAAAAAAATCAAAATTTCAAAAATTATTTTAAGTAACTTTGATAAAATCAAAACAGTACAATTAATGTTTTTGTAGGTTATGTTAACTTGACAAAGGTTATAACAGTTTAATTGTTGGTTAAATAACAGAGAAACTCACCTTTTACGTTACATGCAGTGCCTTCCGCGCCTTCACCCTCACTTTCGTTCATGTTTTTATTCATTTTCTAATTAAAACACTGTTATAAAATGAGAAACACGCAAATAACCTCTCAATAATAATTACAATGACAGTTAAGCTTTGCCAATGCCAGAGTGGCCCAAGTCACCTGAGTCACTATGATTTTTAAAATAGAGTATAAAATTACAATGCCAAAACAATACTAGTATCGCCATCTGTTATTCTCGGAGAAAACTAATCTTGGGCCACTGTGGCTTTGAAAATATTATTATTTCACATCGTTTTTTGTGATAAAGTCTAAATTTGAAAAAGTGTCACTTGAGCCACTCTGGTTCTGGTGGCCTGATATATTAGTTGCACATTAAGTCATCAGTGTTGACGTATAATGGCGTAATTGACATATTTTGTTTTAAATGAAGAGTAATTCATTTAGAGGTACTTTTTTAACAAGAAAAAACAATGTAAAAATTAATTTTAATTAAAAATATTTATTATCATACAAAAGAACCATTCTTTACAATTATTTCTTAAAGATCCTTTCTTCTAAATATTGGTCATGACTACGATTAAGTTGGTTCATTCTGAAGTTCCAATTCTCGATGACTCGTTCCAGCATTTCGATTGGTATTTCACCAATGACTCCAGTAATATTGAAAATAAAGCAAAGCGTGAAAGAATTAGTTCACCTAATCGTTCTTGCACTAATGCCATGCTTTCACGGGCTGTATGGCAAGTGGCGCCATCTTGTTGGAACTAAATGTCGGTTCCACCAACCATCGAGCAAAAAGATAAAAGAGGGAATGTAAAGGTAGTGGGGGCATAAATATTGTTAGACAGGAAGTGCCATCTTGAGAGGCCACTTTAAACAAGGAAAGATAGTCTTTCCTTGTTTGAGAAGTCAAATTTAGTTTGGTTATGTTATTGTTTGTCCCAACTGTCACATGCAATTTTATTTATATTGAAGTTTTTTACCAATTGTGTCACTTTTTAGACTATTATAGTTAATATTTAATAAAAACTTTCTCGTCTGAAAAATATTTTATAGCTATTTGTTAATAAGTGTTGGAAAATTTAAATTTAGCGCCTTTGCATTTCCGGATATGTCCGCCATCAGAGGCCACTTTTTTGGTCTCCTTTTCATAGCGATTAGATTCCCTCTTTTATCTTTTTGCTCGATGCCACCAACACATAAACCAAACCAAACAGTTGTTTTTTACAGGGTGTACATTACAGGGTGTAATGGCAAGTCTTGATTCTCTTTGGGTTGTTCATCACCCCAAATATGGGCATTTTGTTTATTAACGTAGCCATTAAGCCAAAAATGGGCCTCATCTAAAAACAAAATGTTTCTCGAAAACAGTGGATCTTCTTATCAAGAGTCCATCGACTGAAACGGTGACGACTCGGAAGGTCGGTCGGCTTCAGCTCTTGCAGTTATTGAATTTTTTTTAATGCTTTTAAATGCTTTTAAACCTAGATGCTTACGTAAAATACGCCAATCTGTTGCATAGGACAAGCCAAGCTGTTGAGAACGGCGACGAATCGATTCTTTATTATTTTCGAGTACACTATCCGTTACCGCCGCTATATTTTCTTCACTATGTGCTGAATGTGGTCTATTTGGTAGCGTGTTATCCAATGATGAAAACTAGGTTTCAAACTTACTAATCGTAAAGCGAATTGTACGTTCGGTAGGCTGATTATGTGTACCAAAAATTGCTCTAAGTGCACGAAACACATTTCTCATAGAACTACCATTTTCAAAATACAACTTTATAATTTCTAACACTGTGCCGGGCTAAGTCTTTTCATCATGAAATGTCAAACAATACTGAACAACAGCGAAATGTTAGTTTGGCAGTATTCATGCCAGTTCGCCAATCAAATCCCCACCAAAAAAAGAACTCTAAATACTCTACTCTAAATGAATCATCCCTTGCAAACAGAGTGCACAGGATGTATTATTCAAATATTTATTTTTACAGGGTTAACCATAATAATGTACTTAGTTAAGTATGATGCAAAAGTACGGAATAAATTTAATATTTCAGAAACCGATTTATTTATTGAGAACGCACAATCTCCAAGTATGGTAACAACTACAAAAACAAAAAGCTCTAAAAAAAATTATACACTAGTATGTATCGTCCCTCTGTATGTAGTACAAATTGGATAATCCAGGGACGTAACCCCTCGGCCCAACGTAAAGCATGATCTTTCGCAAGTTCTCTTCTTGATGCAATAAGGTCTGCTGCTTTGTCAGTTTAAAACAGTATGTAAAAGACAAGCATCTATAGCATTATTTGCATCTCTATTGCCATGATCATTTAAAACAATTTCGCAAGATTTCGCACAACACAAAAGTAGGAATATTATCTGCTTGATATTTAATTAGTTAAAAATTAGGTTGATTCATTTCGTGAAAAGTTAAATTTACTAAATGTTCTAAAATGTCCTTCACGGAAAATCAAAAAATATACACTATATGGGCAAAAATGTAGATTTTCTTAAAAAAAGGAAACAATGGGTTGTGAACAATGTTTGTTCCTAGCCCTGGACGTTTGACTGTTACGGTACCCGAAATATGGATTTTTTTACGATAATCTTTAATAGGAAAAATTGCATACGAAATTTAGCAAAGTTGACACGAACACTGTTCAATTTAGAAAAATCCGAATGACTGCACCAGTTACAAAAGTCAAATCATTGAGAAAGTACAATTTCTAATCATGGTAACAACTACAAAAACAAAAAGCTCTGAAACTAATTAAATACTTTAATATAGTCTCACTATATGCCATCATACATTAGATAATCCACGGCATATCTATGCCCAGGACGTAACTGCAGGGCATGAAAGTGATGTGTGTGAAAACTAAAGATATTTTTTTGATGCAAGATATTAACTTATAAAAATATATAATTATCGAAGCCACATAGGAATAGACAAGTGAATAGAGCAAACAAAGCCGCAGGTTGCCCGAATGAAACAATATGGAGAAATAAAAATATTAGAAAAGAAATGAACGGCAGGAGTTACAAAACATTCATCAGACCCATAATGGCATACACGGCAGAAACACGACCTGACACAGACGACAAAAAAATGTTAGAAATAGTAGAGATGACCACTCTTACAAAAATCAAGGTGGAGAACATCAAGGACTAGGTAAGAAATATAAGAGTAGAATGGACCGATTATATAAGCTAAAAAATAACAAATAGAGTAGTAAAGACAACTAGAGATCCAGTAGGAAAATCATCAGTAGAAAGATCACGAAAACGACGGAACGACAACCTACTAGGGGCAACAGACAGAGACAGAGAAGAAGAAGAAAAAGAAGCATATTTATAGAAATAAAGATAAAGATAATATATTACCATGAAAAATAACTCTCAAAATCCATTAAAAATACATTTTATTAAATTTTTGCGTATCAAGTGTGTCAAAAGTTAAAAATATATAATAGTTTTATTTTACATTAAAACTATTTTGGTCGCCAAATGTACTACTTTTTTTCAGACTTAACTGGATGTTTTGGTTTAGTAACGCCGATATATCCAATAACTTCCATTGGTCTGATACCCGAAAATTCTTCTTTGATTTCGGTAGCATTCAACTCACTCTGATATATTCTCGCACTGGCCAACGCTGCTTCTTCAGCTAATTCTGGAGGTGCGGCTATAAACAAAACGCAACTTAAATAAATTTAGCAAATTAATTAGGAAGATATTTCGTGAAAATGGACAGATTTATATATATATATATATATATATATATATATATATATATATATATATATATATATTATATATATATAAATCTGTCCATATCTGTCCAAATCTGTATATATATAAGGATTACTCAAAGAGTGGTGGGTTTTTTCGGTCAAAAGGTGAAGAAAAAAGTCAAAGAAGGTGGCTACTTCATCTATTTATTGATTTATTGAAGACGTTTCGCTTTCTAATCAGAAATCATCATTAGTTCATCTAAAAAGAACAGTATGAAAAACCAAACATCCATAGAAAAGTTATAAAAGTGTGTTACTTCAAAAAGACAATATAAATGTATAAAAAAGCTTACTACAATGGACATTCTGAGATCATGTTGTATAAACAATTAATTAAAACTAGATACAGTTGCACAGCAAAAGAACATGTGGTAATTGTAGATGTATATAAAAAATTTATGTAAAAAACTTAAGTAAAGCATTAAAATTAATATGCAAGAGAACTAGAAAGATCGTAAGATGCACTTTCACCAATATATTGTTAGTTAAGTTTAATTTTGACCTTAGGTAACATTATTAATAAATTACGATTGAAATATAATATTTAAAAATAAAATGAAGTTACCAGTCTTTAGCTTATTAGGTGCTGAAGGTTAATGAAAAGCAACAGGTTTGACACCCACGCAAACAACGTGAAAATACAGTGGTCTTGAGGTCAAAATATGACAGAACAGCAAGGCAGTTACCAACCTCTCGTGCAATAGAGTGGTACATTTAAACAATATGATAAATTTGGGTGACAACTTGTCAATAAAAACCAAAAAATGAAAGGAAAAGGTGGTTAAGATCACCATTCTCCCCCCAGTGATTGGTTGAGAGATACAAAGAATAAACAAGCGAGGTCAATCCAAAATATCATATATATTAATAAGTCTACGTTGTGACTGGTTAGCCAGTCACAGGTGAAGATTGATTCAACTTCCACAGACCAAGCTTCATAGCATTTGGAACTGAGATTAAAACAGATTCTATGAATCAGTTTTAATTTAAAAATTTTATTAAACAATTTGATCAAAAAAACAATGAAAATGTAAGTTGAATGAATCAAAGTTAAATAAAGAAAGAAAAACTTATTTTATTTTATTATCATTTGAAATTATTTATATAAAAATATGATAAAACATACACCTTAGGGGACAATTTTAAAGTAAACAATATATTAAGCCTAATTCTGCAAAATTAACGCATGATAAATTTGGCTCAAGTTACTAATGTCAGTTCTCTTATTAAGAGCATTAGTGTGTTTAAGTCATCACCATCATCAACTAGTCTCTAACGTCCACTGCTGAACAAAGACATCTCGCATGCTTTTCCACTTAGTCCGATTTTGCGCCATCTGAATCCAATTTGTTGTCACTCTTTTTATGTCATCTGTCCATCTCGTTGGGGGTCGATCTTTATTTCTGTTAGCTTGTAAGTTTAGGATTAGAGTGTTTAAGTATTGAACACATTTTCAAAAACTGTCTTTTAGCGAGATTGCGTTCATTACCAAGAATCTTAACTTCAATAAAGTCCACTTTGTACTTAGTGTTAATAGCATGCTGGGCAAGAGCACAAGTATGCTTAGATAAGTTGATATCACTGCGGTATTTCTTAAGACGCCTTCTCAGTGATCTCCCTGTCTGACCGATGTAACATGAGTCACACTCAGCACAAAGTATATTATAGATGACATTTACTTGTTCCAGAAAGGACAAGGGTGTTTTTGTTTTAGAAACAAATTTCTGACAGTCTTAACATTCTTAACTGCAATTTTAACAGGTACATTATTCTGTCTATACAGTTTAACAAGTTTTTCAGTAACTTGAGGAAAATAAGGTAGAGATGAGTAATGGGTAGTTGGAGTCTCAAGTACAGTATTAGGCAGAACCGTGTTATTAATGGAATTATTTGATATTATTCTAAGTTGGTCACCATTAGGTATGTCATTTAAAGAGGAACCATAGCTTTGTAAGTAAAGGTCAAGACAGTCTTAACATTCTTAACTGCAATTTTAACAGGTACATTATTCTGTCTATACAGTTTAACAAGTTTTTCAATAACTTGAGGAAAATAAGGTAGAGATGAGTAATGGGTAGTTGGAGTCTCAAGTACAGTATTAGGCAGAACCGTGTTATTAATGGAATTATTTGATATTATTCTAAGTTGGTCACCATTAGGTATGTCATTTAAAGAGGAACCATAGCTTTGTAAGTAAAGGAATTTATTAATGAGCGAGGATAGGTAGGAATTCTCAATCAGAATATTTTTAAGTAATTTAAGGGTCCCTTCGATTAACCGGATGTGTTTGTCTATTTATCCTGCAGCTTCAAGCTTTGATTAGGTTTAATTTGTATTTAAAAGTTACAAGAATGGTAGTTGAGAAACCTATTATAGGCCATTGGTTTCCTATACCAACTTGTGGTTAAGGTGTTATCTCGGATTCTGATGACACGCATGTCTAAGGGAATACTATTCGTGCTAGAGTCCTCAAGTTCAATAGTGAACTGTAAATATTGATCAAACTCATTGAACAAAGGACAAGGTGGCCTGAATATTGTCTGGGGGTAAGGCTAATAATAAGTCATCAACATACCGCTTAATAAAAGGGATTTGGAAATCTAAAAAACCCAAACGGTCATATAATAAATCATCCATTACTTAAATAATTAGGATGGGAGAGATTGAGGAACCCATAGGTGTCCCAAATATTTGAAGCTAATATTTGTCGTTAAAGACCAAGAAATTAGTGTCAAATACTAACTGCAAAAGTTGTGCAAATACATCCCAGGATACAGGACAGTTAGGTTGGATGGAGTTCCAGTGATTTCTTAAGGAGGTAATAACACTAAAAGAGGTAAATTAGTGAAAAGAAATATCACAAAACTCACTAAAATGTAACCTTGTAGAAATTCAAAGTTATTAATAAATTCACTAAAGTGAAAAGAATAAACAATATTAAAGTTGAATTGAAATGAGGTTGAATGCTCAAATAAATGAACTTTGAAAAACAAGGCTATTATCGAGCACAAGTTAATTAAATCTAGCCCAAGTACTTTCGCTTAAAATAGCATCTTCAGGGGCATGTCATCAAAATATAAACTATCCGGTAAGCGTAGAATGTGGAAACATTAATAATAACATAAAATTGTACAAAACACTACACTAAAACGAGGACAAACAGTTTAAAATTACTTTAAAGATTCTACGCTACATTCTTTGTCAGTATCTGGAGGGATAATGGATGTCAGTATCTGGAGGGACATTATCCCTCCAGATACTGACAAAGAATGTAGCGTAGAATATTTAAAGTAATTTTAAACTGTTTGTCCTCGTTTTAGTGTAGTGTTTTGTACAATTTTATGTTATTATTAATGTTTCCACATTCTACGCTTGCCGGATAGTTTACATTTTGACGAAATGCCCCTGAAGATGCTATTTTAAGCGAAAGTACTTGGGCTAGATTTAATTAACTTGTGCTCGTTAATAGCCTTATTTTTCAAAATATTAAAGTTGTTATTTTAATTATAAAATTTAGATAAGATGTCAAATATTTATATAGATTTTATTTATATATATATATATATATATATATATATATATATTATATATATATATATATATATATGTATATATAAAACAACAGTCTTCGTAAATTATAGTGACGCATCTCTTTATATTTCGCTCGCAATATACTGGTGATCTACTCGTAATAATTTTTTGGAGTTTCCATGAATTAATAAATGTAAGTGCCTATATTTTACAAAACATTGACAGAAAGGCAGAAAAAAGAGGTATATCACAAAGTATTTAGTAAAAGCAATAAAAATAGTCAACAGATAAATGGGGCAGATTTCGCAAAGAGACATGCTACATATACTTAAGCAGAAAAACTAGTACCTATCTTAACGACATTAAATACATTAGGAGAAGAGTAGATATTAAAAAAACCAATATGAAACTTCAGCTATCTACTTGCTAAAACACCCAAATGCTGTAATGTGGGCATTAAAAATGGAAGACATAACAAAATTACAAGCTATGTTATGCCTTTCTTTGTATCTAATGATTCTACGCATAAACTGGACAATATAAATAATAAAGCAATCCTGAGAAAGTCAAACTGTATGTCCTTATGATCTTGGACAACCAAACGATCGAGGACAGAGATTATATTAATTTTGTAAAAAAAAACGATATGAATATTACAAACTCCTAGTATAAACTAACCAAGCGACAACTATGTAAGTACTTGTAAATCAAAATTTGATGATGGCAGTAACCCTGGCTATTCAAGAAATCAAATAGATCATTTGTAAATGAGCACTTTCGAAAAGTGATAACTAAGTTTAAAACTAATCCTGCTACAAAAACCAAAAACCAATTTACTTAACATTGAATACATAAATATATATATACAGAGTGGCGCAAAAGTCTGGAAACGACCAATTATCTCGTAAGTTGCTAGTTATAATTTTACAAAATTTGAGGTACACCTATTTTGGGATATGGAGATTTCATATTTGATATTTTCAATATTGTCAGATTTGTCGTTTCTCTTATATTATTAACTTTGGATTTTCAAATTTATCACCCTGTATATTCAGGCATTATTGGAATCTCCTGTTCAATACGTGTTCAACCATGTGTAGCACTTATGATTTTATGTAGTCTGGAAGGTCTTAAATACATAAAACAGTGCAAAATATGTAGATCTTAATAAATTTAAATATTTAAATGTAGAATGATGTAATTTTGATATTTGTTCACCATTTACATTATTAACTGAAACTGATGGTAGTTGTGTTTCAAAAAGTTTTGCAAGATAAATTGTTTCTCTAAAATGGCTCTTAATAAAAAAGAACGAATTACTATTCTAATGATGAGAGGGTACGGTGACAGAAAAAGATCTTATTGTAAAGTAGCCAACTTGTTCAATGATACTTTGCCAAACCGTTCTCCTATTCATAAGGCGACGGTACAGAAAAACTGTAAAGCGATTTGAGGAATCTGAAGAAGTAAAATATAGATACCGATCATGTAAACCAAAAAGAGTTATGAATGACAACAAAACTTTAGATATAATGCAAAGTTTTGTTGAAGATCCACATACATTCTCACGCAGGATTGCACAAGTACATGATGTAGCTCATTCTTCAGTCTTACATGTATTACGTAAGAATAAATTTAAACCATACAAAATTAACTTATTGCAAGAATTAAGTGAAGATGACTTCGATCGTAGATTAGCGTTTACTGAGGTAATGATGGGTTCAACGGTAAGTCAGAAACTATTTATTGAAATACAATATAATAAAATACATTAAAACAAAGTAATATAATAATAAATAAAATTAAAATAAAATAGAATTAACTAAAATATAATTTAATGGAATAATATACAATCAATTCAAATGAATATATGAATAATATAAAATAAAATAAAGTAATTAAAATAGAATAAACCAAATTGGAATAAAATGAAAGAAAATAGAATACAAAAAAAAATAAATCAAATGAAAGTATAATAAATTCGAATAAAATAAAATAAAGTAAAATGTTAATAAAGTTAAAATAAAATAAAATAAAATAAAATAGAATATAATAAATCAAAATAAAATAAACTAAAATAAATTCCCTAATTAAATGCTGGAGAGGAATTAAATGTATACCTAACTTCATCCAATTTGTGGTGGCATGTAAAGACGCTTCAATTATTGATAAATATCGTACGAGTGTTTTTGGAACTACTAGATCAAAGTGTAATAATTGTGTTTTCGAAGCAGTTGACACCTATTGACACCTCTACCGGATGCATTTCATTACCCAGAGAGTACTGTTACTTAATACACTCGAAAGACAAGCTTATTGAACCTTAATACATTACTATTTTAATGGGAATAAGCCACAATTAAAGTTTAAAATAAGTTTATTGACGTTTCAATTTCCACTTAGGAAATCGTTCTCAAAATATAAATAATAATAAATTAAACAAATTTTATTTTTTGTAACTTCATCATTAATAAAAATCATAGCATGTGATTCATCTTTAAAAGGACAACAACATGCCATGATGACAGTAAAAATTCTCCTGTTAGTGATTCCACACTAAATCATAAAGAAAAACCAAGAAAAAAACCTCATAATAATATCTCGGCATGGTATAGTATATGCTCCTTCATTTAGTTTACTCTCAATAAACACCAAACTCTGATTTTAAATGTATTTAAAAAACATAAATGATGTATCCTCCATAATATGTTACTGACTTACGAATAGTGGTATTTTTCTTTTATTAACTTCCTCTTTTAATATGTGTAACCAGATCCTACTGCATTCTGCCAAGGGATTTGTAAAACAATGGGTCGCATTTAGCATAATTAGAGCTGCTTTTTTGATTTTTTCTTTTTACCATCTGTTTCTTTTGGGACTATACTTAAATCATTCCATTGAGCTCTATGTTAAATCCTCTATTTTAATATGATTGATGTTGACTTATTAAACAAACATTAAACCCCCTTGATGTTTCACCTAAATAAACTGATTTTAACAATAAATGAGTAATTGTTTTAGGATGTCACAAAAAATAGCTTCAAAACAATATTTGATACGTTATTTAATTTTAAGACGGTACAAAGTTCAGAGGGTCAGCTATTAATATATAATAATAAGAATTTAACAATAGAATCAAGAACATCGGATAGCAACCAGAAGATTCATAGGAACTATGAAATTAATTTTAAAACCAATTTAACGAAAGCTGTATAAACAATAATTCTAGAAATAACTTGATATCTCGATATAATTACGATACCTAATGGATAACAGAAGGTTTTTTGAAAATGCCAGAACAAAAAAAAAGGAGGAGGATGTAATATCTAGACACGACTTATTTAATGTGCACCAAAGCCAATAGGATGGAAAAATATCTTATCTGGGACATAATATATTGATTGGAAATAGATATAGCATACTACCACTAATTCCTAAAGACAAAATAGCAGGTCAAAGTTTGTAAAAAGAAAACAGGTTTTTTGACTAAAAGACATTCCTGCCTGGACTTAGATATCAAATGCAGGACAATTATATCATGTAACAGAAGATCGAGAAACCTTTGCAGTGCTGATAACAACGTCAGACAATAATTCTGATATGCCACATGAAGAAGAAGAATGACGGATGATTAGCTGTAATTGTTAATGTAAGAGAAGATAGATGGGATAAATATTAGTAGAAAAAAGAAATCATGCTTCAGAAATATTAAAAAATATATCAGTAAATACGAAAATACTCTAGCCGGTAATGAATTAAGTTTGTGACAGGCATATATTTGCCGTGATACGTGATTTAACTAGATCGTTAATACGGTACGAACACTTATGTATTGATTAGTACCTGTAATTAATAACATAAATTTTATCAGAAACAAATATAAAGATGAAAATTTGAAGACAGCTTTGTAAAAAAAGCCCTTACCTTCAGCAGCTGCTTCAGCCGCTTTTACGGCTCCTGCAAATGCACACATTGCTTCAGCTTTGGCAAACTTATCCACAACATCGGATAATTCTGTATCGGGTATCATTGACATCTGCGATACTGTTTCTATTCGACTGGCTGTTGCTTCTGCCATTTTATCTATAAGTGATTTGGGGAGGTTGAGATCTTTTGCAGGCATTATAGTCTCTGCCAATCCGGTCGGTAAATTTCCGTTTAAAGATGTATCTCTCCTTCTTTGCAACTCTCTCTCTACTGCTCGATCAAACCTGATTAAACAAAAAGTCGGTATTTTAAGGAAGGTTAAAGATTTCTCTCAATGTCTTTCTTTTTTTATTGTTATGAAATTGTCAGTTTTAAAATTTTATTATTATATTATAACAGTAACACGATAAAGCAAATTATCACACTGGTCCTTTCAATTAACATATTTTTAACACATCAAACGCCAAATTGCCATATCTAAAAGCAAATGAATAATATGATGACGAAAAGAAAAAAAAACATAAGTTAGAATTACAACGTAATTTTTTATAAGACCATAATCCAACAAAAAATTGCTGTGGTGCACTGAATTACGACGTTAAGCACTACGAAAAGCAAGTGTGATACAACCGTGCTTTACAATATCCGTCCATTTTTATGGAATACATTTTCTCAGTAGCCGAATATACTCTCTAGACCTAAATAACAGTCGGCCTCTAAATGAAACTACAGTTTTATCATTGCATGTATCATTGCATTTTTAGCTGTGACCACCTATACTTTTCAACTTCTGATGTGCATATCGATTGGTTTCTAGCACAATTCACTTAATAATAATGTCATTCACAAATAGTTGAAAATAGTCAAAGGGATTTTTTTATACATTTCATACATTTTTCATACAAAAACTCAGCTTTGGCATCCGAGTCTTGAATACTGAATGTAATATTTTTCAAGGTATGATCATCTACACTCTTTTATATCAAGGATAATCAATCGAAATATCATCGTCTGTTAAAGAGCTTTCAATATCTGGAAGTTGGTATTGGGAAATAACATTTTCAATTGTATCTATCGTCTACTGTTCTTGAGTTTTGTGATGTTGGTAGTAAATTTTGCAATTTTGGTCTTTTGCGGAACACATTTTGGACACCTTTATTTGACGAAGAACTACTTATTTCATCATCATTACGTAATTTAAAATTTTTATCCCGAACATTCTCATCACTGTCTTCGTCTGAAAATAACTCTTCCACCAGCTTTTGCAAACGCTTCTGCTAGTTTTCATATGACATATTGAGAACTGATAAGACACACTATACTACTTCATTCACCGACAACCAACTAATAGGTAATACGTAGTGCATTTATCTAGCGAATGTAACTTCTTGATGCATAATAATAAGATCTTAATAAGAGATAATGGCGAAGATTTGAAATATTTTATATAACGTTACTAAATATTTCATATATATATATATATATATATATATATATATATATATATATATATATATATATATATATATATAGGATCTTTAAAGTACAGATGATATTTAACTTTAGGTAGTATATATTTTTTACAAATTTAATAAATTTCATTCAGTGTCATTTTTAAAAAATAAAATGAGGTTGAATGCTCGAATAAATGAACTTTGAAAATAAGGCTATTATCGAGCACAAGTTAATTAAATCGTAATTAAAGTATCCAAGTACTTTCGCTTACAATAGCATCTTCAGGGGCATTTCGTCAAAATGTGAACTATCCAGCAAGCGTAGAATGTGGAAACATTAAAAATAACATAAAATTGTACAAAACACTACACTTAAACGAGGACAAACAGTTTAAAATTACTTAAAGGTAATAAACTTAGGAAGGAAAAGGACCTGCTCTCTTGCCTATTACCCTCTTGACTATCGCTAGAAACAGACGTACTCTCTCTACTGTTAACCGCCACTAGCAAAAGACGTGCTCTATTGGCTGTTGACTCACGCTAGCAACAGTCCTCTCTCAACTGTTGACTGCCGCTTGTAACAGAAATTCTCTCTCTCGCTTAAAGTTACGCAAAAAAAATCGCGAATCATCTTTAAATCATATATAGACGAAGGTGTGCTCTATCTCTTGATCTTAGTGTTTAGAAACTACTGCGAGACACGTGTTTAGAAACTTGTAAAGGCTGCTCCGCGGTACGAGAAACAACCGCAAATGAAAAGCTACAAATAACGCGAGTGTGTGTGTAGCATCAGTATTGGTAAGACTTTTCATAAATTTAATTTGCTATTATCTGTATAAACCTTTACTACATCCTAATTTATTTTGAACCCAGTTTATTTAGTAGTATCCTAATTTATTTTGAACCAGCCCTACTTAATACAGTCCTCACACACTGAAATTATATTAATAATTTCACATATGTACATCCTTTTTTGTACACTGTTGCTGAGGCTCTTTCTATTACCTACCTTTTTTGTCTGCGTGGTGGCCCTTATTTTAATAGATTAGCCAAGGATGTGGTCAAATAATTCAAGAACCATTATATATCGTGCTTGCCAGTCCAAGCTTGTACCACTTGCAGGCACTGATTCCTAGTCACTTTTAAATTTTTGAATCCGCAGTGGATTTAATTTCCGATACGGACCTAAACGCCTTAAATATTAACCGTCTGAATCGATGGCAACTAATCCAAAGAATTCGAGGAGACTTTTGGAAAAGACAGTCCAAAGAATTTATTCATTCTATTCAAAAACAGTAAAGTTCTCTCGTCCTCATGTCCTCAAATGAACAACAGCCTCCTTTTCGCTAGCAATTAGCAAGAATCACAGATTTTCATTGTGGCACTGACGGCATTATACGAGTTGTTAGTCTAAGTACAGCTTCGGATGGCACCCTACAACGTCCGGTGGTCAAAATATGTCCACTGCAATTTGTTAATTAATAAGTATTTGTTGTTCATACTTCATTCTATTAGCATTATATTTGTATTCTTCACACTTATAATTGTAGTTATTCTTAAAAACATTCGTTTTAAGTGGGAGAATGTTTGGAAAAGTATTTGGTGTCTACTTAAATACCTTATATATTTTGTTTTATTATTCTTAATCGTTTCAACGTATGACCTTATTTAAAAGCTACTTATATTCTTTAAACCTTTTACGTTAAAATGACAATTCGAACACATTTCGTAATATCATGAAGATTTTGTGATAACCACGATAATAAATTAAAAGACCCTCTTAAACATATGTGGGAAGTATCTTTATCTTTTACTTCGAATCATGTTTTAACATTACCTACGAATTCGAAAATGTCTTGGTATTTATCACTTCAAGAAAAGTTGTAAACCAAATGGACCTGAAACGTATTCTTGGCCACCCTTGAGTTTTGCATAAGCAAACGAGATGCTTCGTTTTCATATACAGGTCAAGTACCCAAACAAGAGCACCAGAATTCAGTCTTCGACTCGCGAGTGCACAGTGCACTACATATTATTTAGTTTCTACTACACGAGTCAGAATAAGTGAAATAAATGTCAGATGCATAAAGAATCTTAGTAACAATGTACAAAAATAAATATGTTCAATAATATACAAATTATAGAAACATAAAGCTACTTGACATTTACACAATTGAATGCAACAGAAAAATATAAAAATCAATAATTGATAGACTAATATGAACAAGATAGACCAAGAATATAAGTTGGTAAAACGCTAAAGTGATTTCATTGAAATCATTGAAAAAATTTCCGTGAAAGTTCAGATAAACGGATAATAGTTATTGTATGAGTTGTACAATATACAACTCATTCTTGGTTTTTCTACAAAATTTCTCTTAAATCTTTTTAATTAAAAAATTGTATAGTTTTTAGTCAGCAAAGTGATTTTAGCAATATTTTTATTGAACCGTATCAAAAAATTATCATAAACTAAAAAACTGAGAAACTAAATAATTATTGAAAACGGAGACTAAAAATGAATAAGCTAACAAGTTATTCTTCGGCAATTTGTAATAATACATACCACTGCATAATGGATTCTTGCCTTTGACTTGCAATAGCTGGATCTGTGGAAGATCCGTCTTCTTCCATTATTAATTTCTGTAACAAAAAACGTGAATCTTTCTTGGAAGATATTTCTTTTTGTGCTAATTCAGCCAGCTGATCTTTTTGCAAATTTTTAAACTTGGTATTATCTTCTTTATCCTGAAATGCCTACAATGTAATAATAATATTTTACTCTAAATTTGACATGAAGGATTTGACATTTAAGTTACTGATAGACACATATATTTGGACCAATAATCATTTTTGAATATTTGTAATTATTTAAGCAAAATATCATGCAATATTTGACAATTTATACAGATTAAAATAAATAATTATGATCTAAATTACCTCTATGCAAAAAAATAGACATGGAATAAAAATTAAAAAATGTGTTGGAAGTTAGATTAAAGTAGAATTAAGTGTTAATCGAAAACTGTTAAAGAATGTTTTATAAAGATGTGTGTGCAATATTATTATACGACTGCCATTAAACGGAAACATTTTTATCGATTTATATTGGGACATACCCTTATCATCAATTAGCGTTTGTTTGCAAAAATTGTTATGGTTGCTTTAACTAAAACATAGATCTGTGCTGTCATATATATAGTCATATATGTGTATATATATATATATATATATATATATATATATATATATATATATATATATAGCAAAACTGGTAAGATTATCGACCGAAACGTAAAAACAATTTATTGTGTTGGAATATCGGGTATGCGGTCTGTTATTATTAAATTAAAAGAGAATTAAAAGAAAAAAGAGTTTTTTTTAATAATAACAGACCGCATACCCGATATTCCAACACAATAAATTATTATATATATATATATATATATTTATATATATATATATATATATATATATATATATATATTGTGTTGGAATAAATTTAAATAAGGTAAATGAAAACTACTAAGTTCTCGGAAAGAACCGCGTTAAGAATTTAAACTCGACACTGAGGAGTAGGCAGTTTGGAGACCTCAGTGCCGTTTGACGGTTCTTGTATTTCTACAGAATAAGAAACTCGTACGTAACGAGTCAGAAGAGTAGGCATATTGAGACCCCGACTTTGAACGGAACCATATCCCTCTTGGGAAAATGGTTCCGTTCGTAACGGGGATGCTAGGGATAATGATACATAACGTATAGCCTCTCCTATCCAAATGTCAACCTTACCTTCACGCGTGATGATCTTGATTCTGATCATCCGCTGCATCCTGCTAGATAACAAATGAGGCTCTAACGTCCAAGTGATTGCCGGTATAAGCAATCCCTCACTTACCTACCAACGGCTTCGGGCAGATGATTTGATAAGTGGTAGGGCACTCTTTTATCCTAGGGTTGGGAAATCGGCCCTAAAGGCAGATGAACCGAGAACTAGGTCAACGGCGTAAGGATGTAGAAGACAAGGAAAAACCTACATTAAAGATCCATATGGATATCTCTTGTACATCTATCAAGGCTACAGCTTTGAGAGTGAAGACTACTGATCATGTATATCGTAGTGCAAGATCCGGCAGGGAAGGAATAACAACACAGAACCACGGGACCTCCCAGGTCGTTAGCAAGCGAAACCCCCAAGTAAAAGGAAAGAATGCGCCAAGAAAAATTAAACAGTTTATTAAAATATGCACCTGGAACGTCAAGACCATATACGAAGCAGGCAAAATTTATAATGCCATCCATAAAATGGAAATACTGAATATCGATATAATGGGCATCAGTGATGCGATGACCTAATGCCGGAAAATATCAAATAAGCAAGCACTAAATGTATTATTCTGGAAATACAGAAAGTTAATATAAGCATGGCGTCGGAATCATCATCATCAATGGTACTACAGCCCTATGAAAGAGCCTCGACCTTCCCAAGTCTATTACGCCAGGGAGTCCTATTCATTGCCAACCGTTGCCAGTTTGCTTTGCCTATCTTTCTACCATCCTCATCTACACCATCCTTCCATCTGAGTTTTGGCCTACCTCTTTTTCTATTTCCCACGGGTTGTGACATAAGGATTCTTCTAGGAGGGTTGTTCTGCTGTGATCTTGCTAGATGTCCTGCCCATTTTAGTCTTTCTATTCTTATAAGAGATACTACGTCTTTACCAACAAATATTTGTTTATATCTGTGGTATACCTCGTAGTTGTATCTCCTCCTCCAAATACCATTTTCACAGATGCCACCAAATATTCCTCTCAGGATCCTTCGTTCAAATATAAGCAGAATGTCTTTGTCTGCCTTGAAGATGGTGGCGTCGGAATAATTTTAAATAAACAAATTCGTTACGAATTTTGTTCCAATATTTGAGAGAAAACCTCCGCAAAAAGATCAAAGAAGCAGCAGGGACCTATAAATAAAAAAGGCCGGGACACTTAACACACGCTCAAGGAAATCCAACAGTTGATATTGAATAAACAAAAACAACATGGATGAACTATGTGACAACAACATTTGAAGACGATAGCAATGTCACCATCACACAAAATAAAATTGACGATACCGGACCACCTATTCTCGAAGCGGAAGTAGAAGCTGCTATAAACAACATTAAGGAGGTAAAAGCCGCAGGACCAGACGAGTTTTACTCAGGTTTTTTGAAAATTATGGATAAAGACGAAGTAAAACAACTTACCTTGATCTTCAACAATATATACCAAAGTGGAAAAATGCCCTAACACTGGCTAAGATCAACTTTTATAACAATCCCTAAAAAAACCCAATGCCAAAAACTGTGAAGATTATCGAATAATAAGCCTTATGAGCCATTACCTGAAAACTTTTTTAAAAATTATACATAAACGAATATAGAAAAAATGTGAAGAACACACTACAAACACAGAATTCGGCTTCAGGAATGCATTGGGTACTTGAGATACACTTTTTGCAATACAAGTTTTCTTTCAAAGATGAGGAGACGTCAATTGTGATATATATGTGTGTTTTGTTGATTACCAGAAAGCGTTCGATAGAATAAAACATGAATCATCATCATCATCATCAATTAGCCTATATTTGTCCACTGCTGAACGTAGGCCTCCCGTAAAATTGTCCACCTATTTCTGTCTTGAGCTTCTTGCATCCAGTTTGTGGTGGTGCGCTTGATATCATCCGTCCATCTAATCGGTGGTCGTCCTCTGCTTCGATATACATCTTGCCTTGGTCGCCATTCCAAAATCTTTTTGGTCCATCTGTCATCCGATAATCTGGCAACATGTCCGACCCAAGCCCATTTAGCCCTGGCTAAACCTGGCATTCAACTGTATCTGTGACTCCTGTTCTTCTTCTTATTTCTAGGTTTGTTACTTTATCTCTGATGTTAATACCTAATATTGATCTTTCCATAGCCGCTGTGTAACTCTTATTTTATCTATTGTTCTTTTTGTCAGGGTCAGTGTTTCTGCTCCATATGTAAGAACCGGTAAAACGCACTGGTTAAAAACCTTTAATTTTTTAACCTTTTATTACTTGGTCGATGGTATGGCTCTCAATCAGAATTTTACCGCTGACTACAAGGTTGGTCATAAATTTTGTTTTTGAGGTGTTAATTTTAAGACCAATTGTTTTTGACACCTTATAGAGCGTGTGCAGCATTTTTGTAGCTTTATCAACTCTATCAGATATTAAAACGATGTAATCGGCAAATCTTAGGTGCAGCTGTAAACAATTTAGGGGAGATAGTATCACCCTGTCTAATTCCACGTTCTATTCGAAACTTCTTAGTATCTTCATGAAGGCGGACCCAAGCTGTACCAGTTTTGTAAATACTTTTAATTAAGGCGATATATAGGTAGTCAATGCGGCAGTCAGCCAATGCTTGCAGCATTTTATGATTATCTATAGTATCGAACGCCTTTTCATAATCTACGAATATAAGCAAGATAGGCTTGTTATACTCTGTACACTTTTCTATTGGCGTTTTTATAACTTGTAGATGATTATTTGTTCCGTATCTGGAGCGTAACCCAGCCTGTTCACGAAGTTAGTAACTATCCAGTTTATACACAAGCCGTTTTGTTATTATCTTCATGAATAGTTTGTATGTATGGGAGAGCAAACTAATCGGTCTGTAGTTCTTTAGGTCTGAAATGTCACCTTTTTTGTGCATTATGGTTATTATTGCATTGTGCCACTGGGAGGGGGTTACGCCTCTTATCAAACAAGTATTGAACATCTTTTTTAACACATTTAGTAACGTCACTCCTCCTTCTTTGATTTGTTCAAAGACTATCCCATCTTCTCTAAGTTTATTGTTTTTTATCTCCAAGAGAACTAATTTTATTTCCTCTATTGTGATATCTGGGATGTCTTCTGAGCCTACATTTTGATCTTTTGGTATTTGATTTTAATCAGAATCTGGAAGGTCTTCTCGCTTATACAATTCTGAGTAAAAATCTTGAGCAATTTTTAAAATATCTTACTTATTTGTTGTAGTTTCTCCTTTTTTATTTACAAGTTTACAAATATTTTTCGAAGAAAAATGTGAGGAACCTTTAAACTTTTATTTTTATCAATGGCTTGAGTAATGCATTCAGTGTTATAATTTCTGACATATTTTCAAATGGATTTTGTGATATCTTTGTTTAACTGTCTAAGTGTTACAAAATTATATGTGTATTTGTCTTTCAATTCTCTTCTTTTGTTTATAAGATCTTTAGTAGCTTAAGTGAGTTTATCCATCTTGTTTTTTTCTTTTTCCTTATATTTTCCATGAGCGTTTCGAATCGCACTGTTCGCATGTTTGTCACCTCTATATCTAATGAGTTTTCATTTAGATGTTCTACTTCTTTCAGTTCTGAGGTTATCAGATTCTGATAAGCTACTCTATGTTCTATCGATTTCCATTTATTATAATGCCTCTCTGTTATCATTGCTGTCCTCTCTTGTATAATGTTGAGCATTATTTTTGCTCTATCCAACCGATGGTCACTCCCAACAATGATTTTATTAATTGCTGTAACATCTTGGACAATATTTTTTATGTTTGTGGTGATGAAATCAATTTTGTTTTTTGTTATGCCATCTGGACTAGCCCACCTCCACTTACGTTGTTGTTTCTTTTTAAGAATGTATTCATCACATAGAGCCGATGATGCAACAAAAAATGTAGTAGCACACCTCCTCTATCATTTCGCTCACCGTATCC